AAAAAAGAAGAAGAAGAAGAAGAAGTTATAAATGTAAACAGATTTTATTTTATGATGTTCAGCTATGATTATTTTTACAATTTTTTATATAACTGTTCAATTTTAATAAATCACCATACAAATTAAGAAATGAAAGTTTATTTTAAAATATCAGAACAACAAAAGCACGAAACACAAAACAATAATTTTATTATAAATAAATTTAATTATGTTATAATTTAAAAATAGAATACGTAAATATTTTTTTGGTTTTAAAATAAAATAAAAAGTCATTCTGGAAGAATCCAACTCATGGTTAAGAAAAAAGAAATTGTTATATTAATAAGGCAGAGTAAGGCATCTTGGAAAAATTTGGGAAAGGAGTTATCAGCTTCAGCTTGAGGGGAAAATCATTTCACTCTAATTCTATACTTTTTCGGAATTCAATATATGATGCTATTTAATTAATTAAAATGTTATAGCATCATCATTTTTCAACAAAATGTAAGAATTTGTTTATTATGCAACGGTTATTAAAGATGAGGCATGCTTCAGGCTACTAAATTCAGTACTATTTGCAATATAAATTGATTGAACACCATCTCCATTTTTGCACAATCTTTTTCAAAAACATGGATTCCTCCTTGAAATTAACTATTGTAGCCATTTTGGTAGCCATGTCAGTCTTTCTCTGGCATGCTTTTCTCAGGAAGAAGAGAAACAAAGGAGGTGAGAACAATAAAAAAGAGGCTCCTGTCCCAGTTGGTGCATGGCCACTCATTGGTCACCTACACCTTCTGGGTGGCCAAGACCAACTTCTCTACCGAACACTAGGAACAATGGCTGATCAATATGGACCAGCGTTTAACATCTGGCTCGGTACTCGCAGAGCATTTGTAGTTAGCAGCTGGGAAGTGGCTAAAGAATGTTTCACAACCAATGACAAGGCACTTGCCTCACGCCCCACAACCGTAGCCGCAAAGATTATGGGATACAACTACGCAGTGTTTGGTTTTGCCCCTTACAGTCCCTTTTGGCGTGAGATGAGAAAGATTGCAACTCTTGAACTTCTTTCCAACCGCAGGCTCGAAATGCTGAAGCATGTGAGAGTGTCGGAACTCAGCATGGGCATAAGGGATTTATACAACTCTTGGGTCCAAAACAGGTCTCGGCCTGTGGTTGTGGAACTGAACCGGTGGTTGGAGGATTTGACTCTGAACATGGTGGTTAGAATGGTGGCAGGGAAACGCTACTTCGGTGCCTCTGCAACGTGTGATGATGATGAAGCAAGGCGGTGCCAGAAGGCTATTAATCAGTTCTTTCATCTCATTGGGATTTTTGTGGTTTCAGATGCGCTCCCGTTTCTGCGTTGGTTTGATGTGCAGGGGCACGAGAAGGCAATGAAGAAAACTGCCATGGAGTTGGATGCCATACTTGAAGGGTGGCTACATGAACATCGTATGCAAAGAGTTGATGGTGAAGTTAAAGCTGAGGGCGAACTTGATTTCATAGATGTCATGTTGTCTCTTCAGAAGAGTGGTCAGCTTTCAAATTTCCAATATGATTCCGACACCAGCATCAAATCCACATGTCTCGTAAACTCAACAACCTAATTTATTCCTTAATAACTTACTTTATGTTTCCTTAATCAGCTTTTGTCTCTCTTTATGCATATGTAAGCACCAAAATTCTGAAGTTATTCTTTCTGACAGTACTTTATAGCAAAAGCTTTGCAAGGTAGAAATTACTGAATTTTTGTGTGGGAATATATGCAGGCTATTATACTCGGTGGCAGTGATACCTCGGCCGGAACGCTTACTTGGGCCATCTCATTACTCCTGAACAATCGGCAAGCATTGAAAAAGGCCCAAGAAGAATTGGACCTGAATGTTGGCATGGGTAGGCAAGTTGAGGAGTCGGACATCAGAAACCTTGCATATCTTCAAGCCATTATCAAGGAAACCTTGAGGCTATACCCAGCTGGGCCTCTCCTAGGACCAAGGGAAGCCCAAGAAGATTGCAATGTCGGAGGTTATGATGTCCCTGCTGGAACACGGTTGGTGGTTAACCTGTGGAAGATTCATAGGGATCCAAGGGTGTGGGAAGAGCCTTCTGCTTTCAGACCAGAGAGGTTTCTGACAAGTGATGCTGTTGATGTTCGAGGCCAAAACTTTGAACTCATTCCCTTTGGGTCTGGTAGAAGGTCTTGTCCCGGCATGTCTTTTGCACTCCAAGTTCTTCACCTGACATTGGCTCGCCTGCTTCATGCATTTGAATTTGCAACTCCATCAGATGAACCGGTTGACATGACGGAGAGTCCCGGTTTAACAATTCCTAAGGCAACTCCCTTGGAGCTTCTTCTCACTCCTCGCCTTCCACACCATTTATATGCCTACTAAATTAAGCATGCATCTTCTAATAAAACCTTTTACCTTATTCTTCGAAATTAACTTCATGAAATTCCACTTCTTGATGTTAGGCCATCACATGACATGAGGCCGTTACAGTAAAAAGTCAGTGTTATATGATATCCTTATATTTTCCATTAAAGTATTACGGAAGAGATGAAATAATAATCTCATTTTATACTTCATGATATGCATTTCATCGTATGATATACTAATGGAGTGAAGTGATGGTGTCTTATTTTGTCAAGATAATTTAAAAGACAATAGATAGATGGATTTGAAAATAAATTTTGTGTTTTTCTAAAGAATTTGGGAATGAAAGGAAATGGATTAGAAACGAAATTTGTGAATAATTTAACTCATGTAATAAATAAAAGAAAAAGATTTAATAGATAGTAAATAAAAACTATCAAATTGTTTTATATTATAAGTAAAATGAAATATTTTCTAGATGAATTAAAATTATTTTTTTAAAGAACTGTTATTCAATAATTTTGAAAAAAAAAATTGATAATGATAAATTTTAAAGAATACATCCCAATTTTTGTATAAAAAAAGTGAAAGAAAATACCAAAATGAAAAATGTAACCATAATCTTCAATATTTTTCACATATGCAGCAAGGCTATTACTCTCGAAGGCTACTAAATATGGTAAATGGATCAAGAATTACAAGAGGATATATAATTAAGAACACACACATATGGATATTCATGGAATTGATTCCACAAATCCCAAAATCGATTCTCTTGCCTTTAACCCTTCATGAAATTGGTTCCACTTCATCCATAATCGATTCTCAACACTTCACTGTCAATTTTTTTTCTAAAGGTAAAAATATGCATAGTTTTTCCTCAGTGTTTGTATTTTTTTATGAGCCGGTTTTTATGTATAAGTATTTTGGCCCAATTATTATGCGTAAGTATTTTCATGAGCCAGTTTTTCTGCAAATTTTATGCGCCAGTCACCTAATTACAATTGGTTCACAGTGATTTGGCGAAAGCATATTGAGTTTGGGTTTAGGGTTCCTGTTGTTCTCTGATTTTGGGATTAGGGTTTGCTGAAATTGAAAAATTAGAGATTTCTGGTGTAATTGATTTTTTATTCGAATTGAATTGATGATTTGCGTATTGTTTCTGTATATGGGTAGAACATTTCTGGATTGTTTTGGGTTAGATTTCTCGTCGTAGCAGGGAGAGACTTTCTGTAATTGAATTTAATTAATTCTACCTTAAAAATGTTTGTATCCCTAATCAATTTCTTTTTTTCAATTATAAATAAAAAGACCTAAATTCCTAAATGGGGCTTTCCCAACTTTGCCCTCACTTTAAACTCTATTTTTTAATTTAAAAATTAAAAAAAAAGTTCAATCACTTTTTAATGTCATGTAACAAAAAAACTACACAGTCAACATGTCCTAAACTACACAGTCAACATGTCCTATTTAACGTTGATCAATTTGACGGAAAGATTCTATTTGATGCAATTTTACAAAAATAAGGACCAATTATTGAGATGCTAAAAAAGAAAGGTCCTATTTGAGATTCTGAACAAAAATAAAAACACATTAAACCTTTATTTTTTATTTTTTCTAAATTTTTTTATAATAGAATTATGATTCAATTTGAAAATGGTATTTCCTTAATTTTTTTTTAATCTTATTAACTAACTATTTTTATTTTAGTATATACTTTTTATTATCAATTTTATTTTTATTAATATATTATTTTATTATTTTATCCGTTATATTTTATAATTATTTTTAATCCACATAATCTATCTAATAATTATTAATTTTAATTTTTTATTATAAGAATGGATACGCACGTGTTTCCAAATATATTGTATAAATATTAGAATTATTAAAAAAAAGTATGGCTAAGGATATGAAAATATAATACATCCAAATGAGGTCCTGAATTTCACATTCAATTATTTAACAAAAGTCATTTTCGTGGCCATCGTTGTTTTCCTTTGAGCTGTTCGTGCACGTCACTAACATTTTCCTAATTTTCTTCCTCGTGACCGTTAAAGTCAGAGACATTGCTCTCATAGAACTGAAGCGAGAAACATAACTAAGATATTAACATTGGAAAATATAACGCAACTCACTACTCTAAAAACAACAGCACATTGACAACTCTTTTAATGATATAATGAACATATGTTTAAAATTTAAGATAAAATAAAATAAATATAATTAGAAATATATTATTTTAAATTATTTGGTAAATAATGTGTATTCTAAATTCATTAGAATCAATATATTAAATTTAACATGTCCTTTTAATTTAAAATATTAATGTATATTAAAAAAATATATTATCATTTAATCGTAAATTATTATTTTTCATTTTTCTAAAAAAAAGTAATAGTACCAGCAAAAATATCCTATTTTTTATTCCACTTATCTAATAATATCAATAAAATCATATTTTTATTTTAAAATATAAAATCATTTAAAATGAATCCACTATAAAAGTAAAAATAATATTTTTTATTAGATGTTGAAGTTACGTAGAAAAATTAAGTGGTATACATAAAAACAAAAATTCCTTAAAAAAAACTATAAGAACTACTCTCAGCACATTATATTAACATAAATAAACAAAACTATACAAGTTTATCCAAAGCGCGAAACTTGTCATGGAAGCAGCAGCGCTTGCTGGAGTAGCTGTCTTTCTATTACTTAGTTACTTCATCAAATGGGCTACAGCAGGTTCTGCTCGCAAGAAGCCACCGGAAGCAGCCGGTGGCTGGCCTTTAATCGGCCACCTTCGCCTCTTTGGTCGCTCCGCCGGTCAGCCTCTATACGAAACGCTAGGAGGCTTAGCAGACAAGTATGGCCCAATATTCAGCATCCGAATCGGTGTGCATCAGGCGGTAGTGGTGAGCTCTTGGGAGTTAGCGAAGGAGTGTTTTACCACTCTGGACGTTGTTGTCTCATCTCGTCCCAAATTCAGCGCCGCCAAAATCTTGACATACGACTATGCTAGTTTTGCGTTTTCCCCTTACGGAGAATTCTGGCGCGACATGCATAAGATTACGGTTTCGGAGCTATTTTCTACCCGACGTGCTGAACAGCTTCGAGGAATTAGATATTCGGAGGTGCAGAGTTCGTTGAAAGAACTATACGGAACGTGGGTGGAGAAAAAGGGTGATTTGTTGGTGGAGATGAAGGAGTGGTTCGGGAACATGAATCTGAACGTGATTCTGAGGACGGTTGCGGGAAAGCGATACTGTGTGGGGAATGGAGATGAGGAACGGATGAGGGTTCGGATGGTACTGAGAGAATTCTTTAATTTGATGGGGGTGGTTGTGATTGGGGATGCGATTCCATTTCTTGGTTGGCTTGATTTGGGAGGTGAAGTGAAGGAGATGAGGAAAACGGCTGTAGAAATGGATAGCTTCTTTTCTGAATGGTTAGAAGAACATCGCCAACGAAGAGACTCAGATGGGAAGAAAAGAGAGGAAGACTTCATTGATGTGTTGCTGTCTGCTCTTGACGGGGTCTACCTTGCTGGTCACGATGCCGACACTGTCATTAAAGCCACATGTCTGGTAAGCTGTCTCTTAAGTAAAGTTCTTATTGAGTTCAACATACATAGTATATTTGTTTAGATTAGAAGAAAAAGTAGGAAAAAGGAAAATTAATCATGGTTAAGATCGAATTAGGCTAGTTGAATAATGGAGATTTTATTGGAAATTTAGAACTGCTAATGGGCTTGTTGCATCTTACAGACATTAATAGCTGCAGCAACGGATACTACAACAGTTACTATGACTTGGGCATTATCGGTATTGTTGAATAATCGCGATGCCTTGAAGAAAGTTCAAGATGAATTGGATGAGCATGTGGGGATGGAAAAAGCGGTGAATGAATCTGACATAAACAAATTAGTTTACCTTCAAGCTGTCGTTAAAGAGTCAATGAGATTGTATGCAGCTGCACCACTACCTGGTCCGCGTGAATTCACAAGCGATTGTACTTTAGGTGGCTACCATATCCAAGCAGGTACGAGATTGATTTTGAACATTTGGAAGATGCAGAGAGATCCACGTGTATGGGAAAATCCATTGGAGTTTGAGCCAGAAAGGTTCCTCACAAGCCACAAGGGTGTGGATGTGAAGGGTCAACATTTTGAGCTACTTCCCTTTGGTGGCGGAAGAAGGTCGTGCCCTGGCATGTCATTTGCCCTTCAAATGACACACTTAGCTTTAGCAGCTTTTTTGCAAGCATTTAAGGTCACAACACTGAACAATGAACCAGTTGACATGAGTCCCGTATTTGGACTCACATTCATCAAAGCCACCCCGCTTCAGGTTTTAATCCAACCTCGTTTACCACATCAACGTCTCCTTAATAATGTATACTAATTACGTCATTCTCCTTAGCAGCACCTTCAATTGGTACCTATATGTATATATATGTAGAATGATCAGACTTGTCTCTGTACGATTTTATGAGCTCAATATTGTGTTCAGACTAATTACAATTATTATGAGTTAAATGTTGCACACAAATAAAGTAATGTATAAACTTGAAACCATAGTTAAAATTCGGGCGCACAATTAAATCAGTTAAAAAGGGATTTTTTTAATCTTAATTCGTTAATGAAATTATTAAGAAAACATATCAAAATTAAAAAATTATATAAAAATTAAAAAATCATTAATCAAATTTTTAAAAATATATTTTTATATAAAAATAAAACCCTTCGTTATAATCTATTCCATATGCTTTTATATATCTATTTGTCACAGATCTAACTTTGAATATCCCAATTTTACCATCTACGTCAAATTTCACTGTATAAATCAATTAACATTCTACTAGTTTCTTTTCAAATGTACAATCTATTAATTCTACAAGTTTACAAGTTTATTTTCAAATGTACAATCTATTAATTCTCACATTTCATTTCTTTGTAAGTATATAAGTATCTGTTATATACTTTTTTTTATTGTATTAATGACCTTGATTAAGTGTATAAATTTTGAGGGTATTATTTTTGTCCCTCCAAAATTATTAATCATGATTCGTCTATATGCAATTTTCATATTAATTCATTCATCTATACATTTTAATGTATAAAATAAAGGTTAACTTACCATAAAATAAAATAGAATACAATTAAAAATAAATGAATGCCTATTACCCTTTAAAAATATTTTAGACACTATTTTTTTAGCATGAAAAATATTATAACAAATACATAGATGTATTTTTTTTCATGAACCCTTCTCTCTCTATATACATTAAATACGTCAAACAAAAGATATTAAGGAATAATTAGATATTAAAATTATTATGAAGTGAATTAAACATTTTTTTAATGCATTACCCATTCATTCTCACTGAAAACAATTTTCTTAAAAAAAATAAAACAAGATGGGTGAATGCACCTACTAAAACAAGTGTTTTGAACACATTATGGGTGTATTTATAATTAAGTATGATTAACAAGAAAGTATATTTTTTGATCAAAACACTATTAATATTGTTTGTCTTTTTTCCTTTTTTTATTGGTTCTCTTTTATATTTTTGCTTAGACCCTTTTGTGTTCACGTTTTTCCAACTTTCTTCCTCTTTTAATTCTTGTTAAAGTTATTTAATTCTCTTTTCCTAGTAGTGTCTTTTTGTCATTTCATTGTATTCTAGTTCCTTAACATGACTTCTGATGGGAAAAAATCTATCATACTCCTAGATATTTGATCTAATAAAAACCAATCGTACCACACAAATGACGAGTCTATCACCACATTATCCTTATTCTTGACTTACCGATGTGAGATTATTAGAACTGAAAACAACTTCAGTTTCGCAACCGTATTTCTTGATGAAAAGGAAATGGGAGCTATCTACTTCTACGAGTCAAAAGATGCGGCTGAGTGCTTTTTTATTTCATGCTGATCAAAGGTTGAGGGTAAGAAAAAGTTAGGTTAAGGCCAAAAAATCAGTGGCGTGAAGAAGAAAGCTATGGCGTTAGTCAACCAAAAAATGTAAAAAATTAAAGAAGATGAGGCACGATGACTTCAACTTCTGGATTACACTGTTGACTATCAGTTTGCATTCGGGGGACCAATGAAGACATTGTCATTCTGTTGTATTATGCATTGGGACTTTGAAATCATTCCGATTATTTTACACATTTGTTAGTATACATTCAGAACTTGATTGGGTGAGAGTAAGAGAATTGTTCCTGTGTAAGATGTGGTTCTTGTGAAATAGAAATTCTTGATATAGTAGCTGAATTCCGATGGATCTTACGATTCAATATCTGGTCGCAGCAGTTACAGCCGTACTCTTCATTTCTTTCCTCATCAAAAGGGGTACACCAGGTTCCACCCGCAAGCCACCGGAAGCAGCCGGTGGGTGGCCTTTGATCGGTCATCTTCACCTCTTGGGTGGTTCCACTGAGCCTCCTCACGTAACCTTAGGATCCTTAGCAGACAAGTATGGCCCAATATTCAGCATCCGAATTGGTGTGCATCCAGCTGTGGTGGTGAGCTCTTGGGAGTTAGCCAAGGAGTGTTTCACCACTCTCGACGTCGTTGTCTCTTCTCGCCCAAAATACACCGCCGCTAAACTCTTGGGCTACAACTATGCTAACTTTGGGTTTTCCCCTNCTTTTTGTCATTTCATTGTATTCTAGTTCCTTAACATGACTTCTGATGGGAAAAAATCTATCATACTCCTAGATATTTGATCTAATAAAAACCAATCGTACCACACAAATGACGAGTCTATCACCACATTATCCTTATTCTTGACTTACCGATGTGAGATTATTAGAACTGAAAACAACTTCAGTTTCGCAACCGTATTTCTTGATGAAAAGGAAATGGGAGCTATCTACTTCTACGAGTCAAAAGATGCGGCTGAGTGCTTTTTTATTTCATGCTGATCAAAGGTTGAGGGTAAGAAAAAGTTAGGTTAAGGCCAAAAAATCAGTGGCGTGAAGAAGAAAGCTATGGCGTTAGTCAACCAAAAAATGTAAAAAATTAAAGAAGATGAGGCACGATGACTTCAACTTCTGGATTACACTGTTGACTATCAGTTTGCATTCGGGGGACCAATGAAGACATTGTCATTCTGTTGTATTATGCATTGGGACTTTGAAATCATTCCGATTATTTTACACATTTGTTAGTATACATTCAGAACTTGATTGGGTGAGAGTAAGAGAATTGTTCCTGTGTAAGATGTGGTTCTTGTGAAATAGAAATTCTTGATATAGTAGCTGAATTCCGATGGATCTTACGATTCAATATCTGGTCGCAGCAGTTACAGCCGTACTCTTCATTTCTTTCCTCATCAAAAGGGGTACACCAGGTTCCACCCGCAAGCCACCGGAAGCAGCCGGTGGGTGGCCTTTGATCGGTCATCTTCACCTCTTGGGTGGTTCCACTGAGCCTCCTCACGTAACCTTAGGATCCTTAGCAGACAAGTATGGCCCAATATTCAGCATCCGAATTGGTGTGCATCCAGCTGTGGTGGTGAGCTCTTGGGAGTTAGCCAAGGAGTGTTTCACCACTCTCGACGTCGTTGTCTCTTCTCGCCCAAAATACACCGCCGCTAAACTCTTGGGCTACAACTATGCTAACTTTGGGTTTTCCCCTTACGGAGAATTCTGGCGTGAGATGCGCAAGATTACGGCTTCAGAATTGCTCTCCACCACCCGCTTCGAACTTCTTAAGGATATTAGACACTCCGAGGTGAAGAGCTCCTTCAAAGAATTGTACAGATCATGGGCGGACAAAGGAGATGGGTCACATTATTTGTCGGTGGAGATGAAGCAGTGGTTCGGAGACGTCAATCTCAACGTCATTCTGCGGATGATTTCGGGAAAGCAATACTCTACCAGAAGTGAAGACGAGCAACAGGTGCGGCGGATTCGGAAGGTTTTCAGAGAGTTCTTCCGTTTGACAGGGTTGTTTGTGGTTGGAGACGCCATTCCGTTTCTGGGGTGGCTTGATTTGGGAGGTGAAGTAAAGGAGATGAAAAAAACGGCCATGGAAATGGATACCATAGTTTCTGAATGGTTAGAAGAACATCGCCAGAAAAGAGACATTGATGAGAGCAAAACAGAGCAGGACTTCGTTGATGTTTTGTTGTCGGTCCTTAAAGGAGTCGACCTTGCCGGTTACGATGTCGACACTGTCATAAAAGCCACCTGCACGGTACGCACCACTGCGTTATTGATTGCCATCTCATTTCTTCTCTTTCATTTATGCGTTATTGATTAAAAACTAAAAATGTTTTTCCTTTTGTGTTGGTTTACATTCAAAAATTGAAATGGTTGGTGGCTTTATTGTTGAATCTTGCAGATGCTGATTGCCGGAGCAACTGATACCACAGCAGTTACCATGACATGGGCGCTGTCGTTGTTGCTAAATAATCGGGACGCATTGAAGAAAGTACAAGATGAATTGGATGAGCACGTGGGAAAAGAAAGATTAGTGAATGAATCGGATATAAACAAATTAGTTTATCTTCAAGCTGTGGTTAAAGAGACACTGCGATTGTATCCATCTGGGCCATTCTCTGGTCCACGCGAATTCACAGAAAATTGTACACTGGGTGGCTTCAACATCAAAGCGGGTACCCGATTTATATTGAACATTTGGAAATTACACAGAGATCCACGAATATGGTCAAATCCATTGGAGTTTGAACCAGAAAGGTTCTTGAGCAGCCACAAAAGTGTCGATCTGAAGGGTCAGCATTTTGAACTGCTTCCCTTTGGTGGTGGAAGGAGGTTGTGCCCTGGCATATCATTTGGCCTTCAAATGACACACTTGGCATTAGCTTCTCTTTTGCAGGCATTTGAAATCACCACACCATCCAATGCTCAAGTTGATATGAGTGCCACGTTTGGACTCACAAATATGAAAACCACCCCTCTGCAGGTTTTAGTCAGACCCGCTTTATCACATCACCTACTCTTTGGTGATCATGTTTAGCAAAATCCATTGTATTAACCAACGTCTACAACGTTATTCATCTATTCTGAAACTGTTTAGTTGATTGTATGATTAAAGATCTTGTATGTAACTACATCTTACTTCAATTTTATTCCTTATACAAATTCCTTTCTATAACTATGACGAGAAAAGTGAATCAAATGAGTCTCATCTTATCGGTAAATAAATAAATATATATAATATTTTTTCAAATCTAACAATTGGGGTGGTGGAGGGAGTTGCTCTCTTGTTATATTTCTTAAAATTTTGAGTATACTTTAACCCAGAAAATGAAACATTTATCTAGCAATCATGTTCTCAATGGTTCAGCCTTGAAGGTTCATACATTAGAAATTTCGATGTGAAATTCCTGATTACTTCGTTAAGCTATTCGTTTTGGTTTCTTTCGTGATTGTCAAAAATCTATTTGGGTCTGTAAAAGATGTAAGAATAGTTGTCTAGATTTGCTCTTATAAATGAAGGTATTATTCTCTAAATTCTTATTCTTTCTTCTCTTCTTATTTTTTAGATAAGGGTTGGACAACTTGTTGTCCCTCTTTTAATTCATATTTGTTATTGTTGATAAAAAAACCTTACATATCTTTCTATACTAAAATTTTGTTTAGGAAAATTGAATTCTCTGTCACAAGATTGCTATATAGTCATTTTGTAAGAAACCAATTTAAAATATCTTGTGTTGATTATTATTTTTAAAAATAGCTCAAATTATGAATGTATTCTTTAAATTTAATAAAAGTAAAATATATTAATGTCCGACCATTTTTGGGAATCTAACTTTAGTCAATATAAATGTAGATTAATAAAAAATTATTAATGATATATTATATAGAGATTGAGTATATGATAAAGATATTCGAAGGAAAAAAAGTCTAAAAATATTAAAATAAAGTTAAGTAAACATATAAGTCTAAAATAAATTCAATACTATTCAGCAAACATATGTACAATAAACTTAACTTTAAAGTATAGATACATATTACGAACGCCGCTGCTGCTACGGTTTTATTTTTTATTTTTAATAGTATCTAACAGTGCCTTTTAATTAAAGAATTAACGTGGTTTATTTATTGTTAGTTTAGTTTCTTGGAAATAGAATTTTAACTGTTAAATTTACTTTTTAGTACTATAAACTAGTCGGAATGGTAATTTTTATATTTGTTTTTTCGTTTATATTACCATAAGGAATAAATAGTAATCAATTTTAATGATTAAGAATAATTCATCATTATAGTAACTAAGTTAAATCTTATTTTATACAAACTAAAAATTATTAATAAAAAAATAATTTTTATTATAAATAAAAAATTATAATTAGTTTTAAAATTGATAATTAAAGTGAATTATATTATAAATTAGTGTTTAAATTGATTATTAATATTAGTTACCAAAAGTTTTGACTACAGAATAAAATAGTCTCATATTAGAAAATTAATCTCTAAATTAGTCACTAAACATATTTTTGGTCACTAAAATAAATTAATATTTAAAAATTTTCTTATACTGCATATGAAATATAATAAACACATTAATGGATACAATAATTATTTAAAAGAATAAACATATTGATTGTAATATAATATATTTAAAAAATAATTGAAATTTATTTATTTAAATAAATGTTACAAATAATATAAAAGTAATGTAATAATTATCTTAGAAAATAATTAACTAGTTTTGTGATTAATTAAAGCATTGAATACTAATGTTGATTTAATTTATGTTTAAAAAAACAAAATTAAAATTTTATTTAAATTTTTACGATCTTACAATTTTCTAAAAATATTAGTCAATTTTTTCATGATATTTAGTTAAAGTTTTATTATTTGTTTGAGTTAAATATGTTTTTCGTCCCTTAAGTATCACACGATTTTGGGTTTAGTCCCTACTCGAAACTTTGATGATTTTTAGTCCTCGTAGTTTTAAAACTCTTACTATTAGTCCTTAAAATTGGATGTCGTTAACTTTTAGTACATGTGGCAAACGACGAGGCCACGTCTTATGCCAGCTTGCCTCTCGACTCTCTATCACGTTGCTTGTGTCGTTCGTCTTCTCCGGCAGAGTAGAGTCTCCATCAGACCAGCCGCCGTGCCGGACCTTCCGCTCAATCCAAGCCGTCGCCGGCGACACCAATCGCCACCGGGACCATTGCCGGCCGTGGCGTCGATTTCTCCCTCCTTGCCTTTTCTCCGCGCACGAGAGAGAAGCTCTCTCGTTCCTCCGCCAATCGCCGCCTGAGAGAGCCCAGCCTCCGCGAGCCACAAACGAGGATGGTCACCGCCGACGCCGTCCTCGACAACCGGTCAGAGTATCAAGTCACTGTGATGAACATTTCTATTAAGTTTTTTCGCCCCTTTTTCACCTTTAAATAATTTTTATTTTTCAGGACATATTAAATGCTCTAAGAACTCCCCTTGCACTCCTTCTTGAAAGAAGCTTTGACATACCAAATTTGAAGTATGAAGTAATTGGCAAGGCAAAGGAACCACTAAAGAAGCTCAAACAACTACTAATTGATCGCTTCAGGAATCAGTGTGGAATTGTTTACTGCCTTTCAAAAAGTGAATGTGTTGAGGTCTCTAAATTTTTAAATGAGAAATGCAAGATCAAAACAGTGTATTACCATGCTGGCTTGGCTGCCTGACAGAGAATAGCACCATGAACAATATAAAAGTTGAGTTATATATTATATCAAAATAAAGAGAATAAACTGGCTTGTGGTCAATTTGAGTTAGGTCAAGCTGTTTTTAGTTTTAGGTGAGTCACTGCATTGATTATTTTCCTTTTGCATTAGTTTAGTTTAACTTAGCATCTTCAAGTTTACTTTTGCATTTCACAGTTTCAGTCATTGCATCTTTCACTCCATTTTATGTTTTATCATTGTATTTTAGTTAAAGTCAGTTTTAGTTTTGCATTTCCATTGCATTTTAATTTCAATAACCATTCATAATTTCTTTCCTTTTCTGTTGTCACTGCTGTTCAGTTTACATGCATTGCATTTTTTATTTCTTTTGCTAACCACTGTTCATTTTCATTTTACGATTGCTGGTTTTATTGCTGAGATTCTTTTCTTTTCAATTGTGTTTTAGATTTAGCTTTAGTTGTCCAGTTCTACCACCAGTTTGCACCAGTTCATATATACATTCCATTTCATACATTGTTTTCATATGTAGCTTTTCTTTACTATTTTTAAATTTTGATCTCAAATTTAGCACTAGTTTTAGTTCTGTTTTTCACTTCTGGTATACTCCCTTTGCACATTGAGGACAATGTGTAATTCAAGTGTAGGGGGAGGGTTCAAATTTTTGCTTTTCTGCCTATTTTCTCAGAGTTTGCAGTTTTAAATTTATGTGTTCAACCTTTGTTTTTGCTGCATAGATTAAGGATTTCTCTACTTTGAGAGTTTTTCATTTTATTTACTGTTTTTAGGAATGTAGAACATGAGTAAGTAGCAAGTTTGTTACTGCTTTTAATTCTAATGTGGCTATTCAGTTTGTTGTTTTCAGATTAGTAGCAGTTTACTTTCATCCTGGTTTGTGGCTCGTGGAGGTTGGGCTCTCTCAGGCAACGATTGGTGGAGGAACGAGAGAGTTTCTCTCTCGCACACGGAGAAAAGGCAAAGAGGGAGAAATCGACACCGTGGTCGGCAATGGTCCCGGTGGCGATTGGTGTCGCCGGCGACGGCTTGGACAGAGCGGAAGGTCCGACACGGCGGCTGGTCCGATGGAGGCTCTGCTCTGCCGGAGAAGACGAACGGCACAAGCAATGTGACAGAGAGTGAAGAGGCAAGCTGGCATAAGATGTGGCCTCGCCGTTTGTCACATCTACTAAAAGTTAACGTTGTCCAATTTTAAGAACTAATAGTAAGAGCTTTAAAACTACGAGGACTAAAAACTATCAAAATTTCGAGTAGGGACTAAACTCAAAATCGTGTGATATTGAAGGAAAAAAACATATTTAACCCTATTTTTGTTCTATAAGTCATTATTTTTATCATAGAATTCTTTTAACATATATAGCATTCCAAATATAAGGACAGTAGACGAACGAAAATACATTTTCATGCATGATTCCTGACTAAATGAACATCAATAATCATCCTTTTACTATTTGGTTTTCAGGTATCATTATTTTTATTTCTATCTTCTTTTATTGGAGATTTCACTTTTTCACATATATACTATGTTTCACTATTGTAACTATACACATCATTATTAGATTCATATAAAATAATGTCCATATTAAATACACCTTCAAATTGAACTACTACTACAATTGATTTTAAAAGTAATGATTCATAAAAAATATAATTCAAAGTTTTGATATCAAATTAAAAAATCGAATTCATTATATGATTTTTCATTAATATATTGTTATATACAGATAGTAAATTTGTATAATATTTTACTCATAATAAATTAAGAAATTTTTATTATATGATATATTATATGATTAACAAACGTATAATTTAATCAACAAATAAAATAATTTTATATTAACATACTAATTCAATTTATACCTGTTTCAAATTAGTTTAATTTACTGAATTATAATTCACTGCAACTTATTTAAATTATTATAAAATTCAATTAGGATGAATTCCCAGAAGTAAAAGAAATCAAAATTATTTCATTTACTTTCGCATTACTAATTATTATTTTTTAGACTAATTATTACATTCTTTTTACATTTTTATTTCTAATATTTATTACATTTAAATAAATAACGTTTCATTATTTGCTAAATGATTGTTAAATTTATTTATATTTTAATTTTAATATATATTATACTAAATATACTTCTTTTTTTAAATAATTATTACATTTATTTATGTATTATATTAATGGAAAAAAATTCAATTGTGTTTTGTTTTCAAGTTGATTAAGATAGTATTGAATAAGTAAGATGAGTTTATTGGATGTACTTAAAAAAGTCTCCCCATCGATGTTTAAGAAAATTGAGAGTTTATCTTTTAATGGAGGACTATGAAAGTTTTTGTGTCAGGACATTGAGATAACATTGAGATAATCATACTGTCCACTTTGAGTATCAAAATCCTATAACAGTTTTGTTCTTAAAAAATATTTAGAATTAAATTATG